TTTTCTCAGTCTTTTTAAAAAAGTTATTTTATATTGATTTGCTTGCAAAGTTCATATACATTGTGTTTCACACTATTCTTCATTCGTATCGTGTTTCATACAATCATTCGCATGTGTTATGTTTTATAAAATTAATCACTTTTAGACCTTGCCCATAATTACCCTGCATTTTCACTCATATTCTTCCCCTTTCCTTTAACTCCTCTCTCCACACACCACTCTTGTCAGCATCACCAGGCGCTACCCAGGCAACAGGAAGACTGACTAAAATGCAGCCAGTCAGAGCAGAACCTCTGGACTAGGAAGAGAAGCAGAGTTATGCATCTGCTGGTCTTGTTGGTAGATGCCATTGGGTTGGTTTTGACTCATAGTGACCTCTTAGGGCTTCCTATTTCCTTTATACGATCTTAATGAACTTTGTGTATAAACCAGTATAAAATTTAGAATATGTTTTGTTTTATTTTATTTGAGTGCAAGTTTACAAATCATACTGCATTCTCATTCAATCATGTATAGACATTTTGTTTTGTAACCTTAATTAGAAGTGATTAATGTAACTAATTGCCATGTGCAGTGCTGACCTAGTATTTAGGGAGTTGTGCTGCTAACGCAAAGGCTGAGGCTCTCTGGCAATTTGAAGCCAACAGAGGATTATGAGAAAGAAATAGAAACAATGTCCTCCCATGTGATTTACAGCCTCGGACACACAGTGGAGCCTCGGTTGAGTCTGTGCCAACTTGACAGCAGTGAATTTGAGCTTTTGAGTTTGAACCAAATCTTTATTGTTCATTGCCTCTCCCTCCCCCTGTGTATCTACATATCACTCTTTGTTCCTTTCCTTCTCCCTTCTAATTTCTGCTAATACTCCAAGATTGGTTCTATCAGTGTGTAAACATCTCCTTGGCTTTTTAGATTGATGGTCTTGCACCATAACTCCTTTTGTGATTGACATTCATGACTCAGTAAAATATGTGCTCGATTCACCCATGTTACACAGCATTTCACAGATTCTTGATAATTTTTTTAATGATGCACAATACTCTATTGTGTGAATCCAGCATAGCCATTTGTCCGTTGATGGAGTCTTGGATTTTCTAACTCTTTGCTTTTGGAAATTATGCTACAATAAACATGGTGGGAGGGCCGGGGGAGGGCCCAGCTTGTGTTGCAGCTCCTATTTCTTTGGGATATACACCTAGTGGTAGGATTACTGGGTTAAATGGTATTTCTGTTCCTAATTTTCTAAGACAGCTCCAAACTGCTTTCTGTAGTGGTTGCCCCATTTTACATCTCCACCAGCAGAGGGGGAGTTCCAGTCTCTCTGCATGCTCACCAGCGTTCGCTGTAGATGGGATCTTGGTGACCACAGATCATCACGCTTTTTTCCTGGTGGATTCTATGCTACGAGCTTTTCTGTTAACAGGTGAATGCTTACCTACCAGGGCTCCTATTCATCTAATAAAGATTGGTTTTTCTCAATCCTATTGTTTCCAGATAATTAAGATTTCACTTTAGCTGTCTCAGTAAGTAAACTGAGCCAGACTAGAAAGAACTCTAAGAACAGAACCAACAGAATGAAAGAGAACCTCCCATCCCAGGGATAATTCAGTCAACTTGTTGTTGTTAGAAGTAACCTGAAGAATAAGGAAGGCCCGTCTAGACTCTAAAAAAACGCAAGTTTATTGTTGTGTCAGAACCGACTCAGAGCGGACCCTTCCTCCTCCAGCTGGACTTCCTAGTCTGTAAATTGGAGGAGATTTACAGAGCAGGGAGGTGATTGTCCACAGGAGGCCTGATGGGTTCTAACCACTGATCTTTCCATTAGCAGCCCAACAGATAATGTACTGTGCCTTCAGGCTCCCCGGTCCAAATAATTTCCAGAAAAATGCATAACTTTAAGTCTCAATTTGAAGTTTATAATGGAGTTAAAACCTGTTTAAGCAATGTCGTAGTTGATTGCCATCAAGTAGAGCATGACTCATAGCAATGCTAGGAACAAAAGACCTGAAGACTTTCTAGAACTAGCATCATTTTGCAAAGTTCTTAGAGTTTTCAGAGGTGTGTGGTTTAGGAAGTTCATACCACTCCGTAATTCAGAACTGACAGTTTCATTTAGAAAACTAATACAGATATTATCTAAATTCCCCTTCCATCTTTAAGAACCTTGACTATTATGGTTAATATTGAAATAATATACTTGTACACATTCTGGCTTCACCCTTTCCAGGACAGACCTGTTAGTTCTCTTGGTATTCCATGGTATATTCGGCAGCACCACAATTCAAAGGCATCAATACTTCTTCTGTCATCATTAGTCATTGTCCAGCTCTCTGATGCACAGTAAGTGATTGCGAAGACCATGGCCTGGATCAGGCACACCTTAATCTCTGGACATCGGTGCTCTTTAGCACTCTGGAGAGATCCCTGACAGGAGACTTTCCAATGCAACTCATCTTTGATTTTCTGATTTCTGAGCAAGAGTGTTGATTATGGGGCCAAGAAAGATGACGTTGTACAATCTTAGTCTCTTCTCCGTCTATCATGATGCTGTCAATTGGCCCAATGGTGAGAATCTTTATTTTCTTGAAGTTGAGCTTCAATCCATATTAAAGGCTGCAGTCCTTGACCCTCTGCAGCAAATGCTTCAAGTCCTCTTCAGTTTCAGTAAGCAAGGTTGTGTCCTCTGCATAATGCAGGTTATTGATGAGTCTTCTTCCAATCCTGATGCCTCATTCTTCCTCATAAAGTCCAGTTTTATTTTTAGACAAAATTAATTGTCCAAATTTTCTGCCATTGTTTTAACTTTTTATCATACCTCCTCTCTTCATTCCCACAGCTTTGTCATGGAAACAGATCATTTAATTGCTCTTATTTACATAAGTTCATGTTATTATTTACAAGTTTGAATAACTAAGTCTAAACAGGGATTATTATCAGGAAAATAGTATTTCTTAGCAAACAAAAATTTGCTGTTAAAATTCCCTTCCTATTTGAGCTTTCAAACTATTCCTCATTAATAGATTCTTTATTGAACACAGATCTGTTTTTCATTTTGAAATTGGAAAATGGCTTCATGGAAATATTAAGAAAAGAGATTCGGTTGTTAACGATAAATATTACTTGCTGTCTGTCAGCAGCAACTTTCACTGAGAGAGTAACTTGATCTCCATCTAGTGGCTGAATGGGCTTACTACATGGTAGAAATTCAAGTCGTTGGATCCCCTTGCGGGCAAAGGTTTACACACTCCAGCCTTGTGTGGTTTCTGTCGGTCATGAGATGTTCCTTTAAGTCAGCGGTAAAACAAAGACCAAGCAAGTCATCTGCCATATACTAATCTCCATCTTTTTTTTAATTCCTTTACATGGTAGGAAAAGAACCGTCTGCATATGGATAAGCAATATAAGTGACATACTTTATTACAGTCCATTTCCTTTGCTACACTTCACCCTTCTCAAGTTATGGGCTTTGAAGTCACTGTTGAGATGAGCTTTTGTTTTTGTTTAATTAATTCATAAATATTTTTCTTTGATCACTGTATCTTATAAAAGAATGTTTCTTGAACTCTGCATATAAAATATGTCCATTAATATTGCATGCTTTCATAGGATCCTGTTTATCCCCTAGAAACAACACTAACAATTACAAGTCTTGCCATGCTGTAATTCTAAGAGTCCCTGTTTTTCATTTTTAGAATCTGTGTTTTCAGAATCATGGGTTAATTATAAGACAATATTTTTATGATTATGCTCATGGAATTTTCTTTAAAATGCTTTTTTTACATATTGATTTAGTGCATTTTCATTTCTTCCAAGAGGACTGTTAAGGCTACAACCACCGCTTTCATCTTTAAAAACCAATCATCTTCTCTAAAAGCCTTTTTCTCATGGAAGCAAAAAAGCCAATAGGCTATATAGCTTTCAACATTGTGTTCTAATTACAGTAAATTAATCAGAAAATAAACCTCCCCCCAGTTTATTGCTGGTGGAATCATTTATACTTCCTTAGCTTTTCAAGTACTTGTTATACACCTGAAATATCACAGTTGAAGATGACTGAAAAATTGATGCCTTTGAGTTCTGCTGTTGGAGAAGAGTATTGCATATCCCATAGACTGACAAAAGAATGAAGAAATATGTCTTGGAGAAAGTGCAGTCAGGGTGTTCCTTGGAGGCAAGGATGGTGAGCCTTCATCTCATGCATTTTCGGCAGATTGTTAGGAGGGTCTGGTTCTTGGAGAAGGACATCATGCTTGGAAAGGTAGAGAGTCAGTGAAAGACAGGAAGACCCTCAATGA